TGGACCTCTGGGATTTCTCTCCATGTGTGGTTGGAGTCTATCTTACAGTATTTTGAGCTTAATTTTGCTTGCATGGGAGATTAGTGCTATGGTGCTATAGTTGCTGTAGTCTCTTGTGTCTCCTTTTTTGTGGATGGGGATGTATATTGATCACTTCTAATCTGTTGGCCATTGTTTTGTTTTCCATATCTGTTGAGATATGTTGCTTAGCAAAGAGGAGGATTGGGGCTGTGGTCCTTTGAGCCCTGATCCGCCGCTCCCAGAGGCGGCCCAGAAAAGCCGCCCCAACTGCATCAGCCCTATGTCTTATTTTCAAGTTTGGCTTATATTGCGCAAATGCCTACAAATCTTGCTATGGCTTATTTTATGGGTATGTCTTATTTTTGGGAAACATGGTATCCAGGGCCTTTTTTTCAGTTCTGCATGTAATTTTTTTCCAGAGGAATGTTCACACATTTCCCATGGAAAGCCTGTACACTACAAAGGATTCTACATAGAAGGGTTACACTTTCAGTTCATCTGAGGCCCGAGGCAGTTCTCCAGAATTCAAAAAAGAAAACACTGATCAGAGACCAAAAATAAAAATAAAAATGTAGAAATAAACCACACAAGGTAGCAAAAGAAACTGCCCAGTTATAGTAGCAATCCAGTATTCTGCCTTATGTTTCCATGAGGCAGGGGTGGAAAATGATTTCTGTGTTGAAGGATACGTTCCCTCATTGCATACTTTCAAGGGCCTCAATCCAGGGGTGGAAAAACCAGTCAAAAGTAGGCCAGGCTAGAGCCAGGATGACATTAGAGTTTCTTATTGCCATCCTTTTTGCTTACACTCTTCTCTCTCACACATCCACACACCAGATCCTCCAATTGTTCAAATTTGGTAAATGCAACCCAATTAATCCTGTCAGTCACTGTTGTCCCTGCCTGGGGTGTCTCCTGGTGTGGGGAGGCTCCCCTACCTCACTGCTGCAGTGTGTAGAATAGTGCCACAGCAGTGAGGTGGGGGTGTGCTCAGCCCTATATAATAACAGGTAATGTCAATAATGTTTACAAAGCATTCTCTTCCCTTGCTCACTGTTGTCCCTGGTTTAAGGTCCTGAATTTTATCTTTTATTATGGTGTTATCAATACTTCTGAGATGTATGGCTTTGTTTAATTTGATGCTTATGCTCATAATGCTGTTCCTCCTCCTTGTAGTGTTTCCTATAATTGCTGTTTTCTATACTACATTAGAGTTTTACTATTACAGCGCCCCCATGCCATATGTGGGCTCATCATATATGGACTCAACATCATGCAAATGGCGAGCCCTGGCACTTCTAATGGTGTGTGTACCTGTTAAAAGGGAAGTATTTTAAATGTATAAGAGAAGACGTTTAAAGGAAAAAAGAAACAGTTTAAAAGAGTTTTAAAACTTTTAAAAGAGTTCAGTGAGTTGACTGAATAAGAAATCACTTGCAACTACTGAAGCACTGTAACTACTGTAACCATACAATCTGTGAAACATCCTGGAAAAAGATACACTCTTAATATATGCCTGCTAATAAAGTTAAAGTTC